GGCTTCGGATCGGCATAGTATCGGCCATTGCAGTCACTTGGGGAGTGAATCATAGACAGAAGATCTTCCTCTCTGTCTCTCCTCCTCTCTGTATATCTGACTTTGTAATAAAATTAAATAAATCATTAAAAAAAGAATTCCGAAGAAAAGTATAGAAACAGTTGATGGGTTTTGTTGATAAGCTCAATACCTTCTCCCTTATCCTATAAGACCCTCAGTGTATAAAGTGTAATGCCACTAATAAACTTCGGCTTTCGGCCATCAGTCAGAGTCCATGCGTGTTATTGTCAACTCCGTGCACTAAGTCCATTGCTGCGGGACAGCGACACTATAGTGGTTGCACAAATCATGGTAATTTCAGAAAAAAAAAAGAAAAAACCAAGAACAACAAAAAATAATAGAAAAGAATGGAGGAAGGATCAGAATTAAAATCATATGAACATTCCAAATACAGGGCATCTCTCAGACAATTCTAGGTTTAGACCTAGGGAAAAAAAAAACTATAGATACACACATGACAACTCAATGCGGCTATAGATGGGGAGCTCCCTTCTAATATTCTTTCACAAACGAAAAAGATGGAAGTCATCACGCTAGATCTTGAACTAAACAAGAATATCTATTGTTGTTCAAATAGTTCTGATTTTTTTAGCTAGATATATTAAGCAAGACATGCAGATTGCAGAGGGATAAGACAAGCTCTCCCTGTATGTGCATGTCATGATTATATTAATGAGTACCAATGGATTCACTAAAAGTTTATTGCGGTTGATACGTGGATTCAGCAACACTGTGTCTAGATAATTACCACATGACAATCCATAGCCTTTTGTACACCAGCATTTCATGTACAAACAAAAAATACTTGTTACCAGAAATGCCCGATGGGTTCTTTCCTCAGCTTAGTATAGAAATAAAAAGCTGGGAATCTGTTGCAAACAGAAAAGTTTATTTGCAAAGGGACCAGGTGAGCAGGGAAGGGAGGGAAGTGGAAAGCACCTCCGGAGAGACTTCCGGGAGGTGGGGTGCCTCTCGAAAGAGGAAGGAAAGAGAAACACCAAAGGTTTGAGGAAGGGTCTTGGGATTTTAAGCATTCCATGACCCCTCCTTGTTGGGCGGGGAACCTACAGGTAAGATGTTCCCCATTGGTGGTCTGTTCATTAGAAAGTGGATGGGCAATGCTGGTGCCGCCCACCTGAAGGTGTGGCCAAGACCTCAGCAAGCCTGGATGATCTCATTATAGATAATAAAAAGAAAATTAATACCATTAATAATAGCAGCCAAAAAACTCAATATTTTGGCATAAATTTATTAAGGGGTTTGAAAGAATCCATAAGAATCAATTTATAAAGCTAACAAAAGAATGAAAGAAATAAAATAAAACAAATTAAGGCAAAAAAATTTCTCATTTTCATGATTTAGAATGTGTAATATTACAAAAATATCAATGATTACCAAACAATTCACAGTTTATGCCTATATTCATCAAATCATCAACATTTTTTCACAAAGTCAGAAGAAAATTCAGAGATAAGTTAAAGACCTTGAAAAATTACAGATGTATTGGATGAAGACAAAATTGGAGGCTCTCAATATCAGATAACACATAGCAGATCTTTGAAAACAGAACAACATGTTATGGAGCAAGAATAAATCTTTCTAAAAGATAAGAAACAGCAGAGATAAATCTATAGAGCTATAGCTAATTTATTCTTGACAAACTTGTTGGAAACATTCCTTAGTGAAAAATATTTTCTCTTTGATACATACAGTTGGAAATTTTGTGTTTGCACCTGAACAAGTATGAAATAAAACCTTAAGCATTCACCTAATACAGAGACAAATTCAGAATGAATAAAAGGTAATTGAGGACCTGAAACTAATAGAGAAAAATGTAAGGGAAATGCTACAGATATCAGCATAGGTAATAAATATTTCAGTGGAAAATTTGAAGGCAGTGTGTGGCAGGAAACATACATTCTTAGGTAGAAAATATTAAGAAACATGCATCACAGTAAAAACTCATCGACTCAACTACTTTAAAGATTTTTAAATTAATAAAATCCTTAAGAACATTTAAGTCAACCTAAGCTTACAGAAAAAAATGTGCTGGGTCCATAAGCTATTTATATTTTTTATTATATACATATATCTATTGTTTACACAGTTGATTAAGGCACAAAGGGTCAAGGGCTACAGGAAAGTGGTAAGACCACTGTTTCCACGTTAATTTTTTTTTCCTGTATCTGGGGTAATGGGAGAGATAAAGTAAGAAACCCCATTTAGCCTCCCACCCATCCCAGATCCCCAATGTGGGGTATGCGCTGAGGGTCCTGCTCAAGCAGTTTTGATAGCTCAATTGTTCCAAATTGCTGCCAGTCTCGCCTTTTCAAGCACGATGAAATCTCTTCAAAATCCACTGGCTGACATAATCTCTTCATGGCTGGGGTTCTGAGGGATCTCCAACCTTTGTCTGAGGTGATCCCAGACCTGATTCTTGTGTATGCTTGCCAGTACAGGGTCCGGCACAATCCCTCGCCCCAATTGGTTTATGTCTATGCTGGTGATTGCAATTGCTGGGTCAGTTCTGTTTCCAAACCTGTCTTCCACATGAACCAATGGGTGTTGTAGTCCAGCCCAATCCTGCCCAATTCACACTTGGCCCTCATGCAAACCAGTGGGAACTGCAACCTAGTTGGGGCAATTACGCATTATCCCATCAGGCCTGCCCCCGACGCTGGTTCCCATGCTTGACACTATGTACCACAGACTTGTTCAGTCTGTCCCACATCCCATTTAGCTCTCATACATGTCAATTGCCATTGAAGCCTAGTTCAACTCAACCAGCGCTACTATCCAGCCCACACACACGCTGGTGGGTTCTGTTCTGTCCAGCTACCCTGTCCTGGTTTTCCTGCTCTTCAGTGGGAATGGTAACCAAAGAGGGAGGTGCCCATTACTTTCCTACTAGGCCACTCCCAGATTATGATCTAAATTAATGTGGAATCTATAGATGTTGATTTTACTGAAGTATAGAGTAGAACAGTGACTGCCACAGACTGACTAGAGAATGGAAGAGGGATAGATCAGGACATATTGGGCAAAGTACAAAAGGACAGCTCGATAAGAAAAACTTCTCTTACACAATAGAGAAATAAACTCTGTTTTCCTGAGTTATAGAGGTACTGGAGTTACCAATAAGGTATGGTGTATATTAGCATAGAAAATACATAAATGGTTTTTTACATTCTCGCTGCAAAGAAATACTAAATGCATGAGGGGATGGAAATACTCACTACCCATATTTGGTCAATATTCATTTTGCACATGTATCAGAATAGCAAATTATACTTCCATGAAGTCTACATTTCTCAGATATTAATATTGAAGTGTAAAAGATCTAAAGTGAATAGATGAACTCTAAATTCCAAAAGTGCTTGCAAATCATATGACTAAGATATTTGCATAAAAATACACAAGGTTAAAATATCAGTATTAAAAAGAACTCAATGGAGACATGTCCAAAGAATACAAAAAGACATTTCCATAACAAGGATATACATATTGTGAAAAACATGTAAAAATATTCACTATATGGAGCATAATATGGTACATTTAAGTATAACTAAGCATGCTAATTCTATCTGTGGAATGTATGAAATTCTTATACATTCCAGAATGGAAAGGAGTCCAGTCACCTTGAAAGTTTTAATTCATCAGATAAATATAGTTACTTCATGAGTCAGAAATTCTGCTTTTTTTCACACACTGAAAAAATTAGCAATATAGCCACAACAAAGTAGATGATAGGCTAATAAAGACAAGGTTTTGATAGCCAAAGCCAGGGACGAGACAAACAAGTGACCACCAACATAGAATGAAAATGTAGTATCTATATCCATAGTCTCAAACATTGTCTGACCATAGGTTAGAATGAAGTATACATATATGTTATAAAATGAATGATTCTCTTAAACATTATCTTAGTAGTAAGTCAATAAAAGGAGAGCACATGTTATATGGTTCTATTTATGTGAAATTTTCTGTTTAAGAAAAGTTATACAGTAGGAAATAGGTGAACATTTGCAAGAGCTGGCAATGGGGATTAACTAAGAACATATTTGGGGGCTTATTGAACTGTTCTCTCTCTTTTTTTAAGCTGTACTTATTTTTTTTTTATTGGAAAGGCAGAACCACAAAATAAGGAGAAACAGAGAAGGAAAGATGTTCCTTTTGCTGGCTCATTCCCCAAATGCCCAAACAATCCAAACTGAGAAAATACAGGGTCAGGAGACAGGACATTCTTCTAGCAATCCAAAGTGAATGTAGATTCCTGAAAACTTGAGACATCTTCTAATACATTCCCAGCTGAAAGGTGGATTGGAAATGGATCATCCAGGACATGGACACACCCATACAAAATGCCAGCAATATAATGTGCAAGATTAGCCTGTTGAACCATGGTGCAGGCCCCAAACTGTTCTAAAAGTAATTTCTGTATGTTTTCAAAACTTTTGAGACTGCACTCTAAACTGTGGAATTATACAGTTAAAACAAGTGAATTATATGGCATATAAGCAAAATATTTTCATAAAGCAAGAGAAGACATTAAACACATCTAAGACGTGCTGGCTCACGTGTATTATTAGTTCATTTCTACTTCTGGGCCAATGGTCATAATGACTTGGCAGTATCCAGTTGCAGTATGATTGTTCTTGACACTATACCAAAAACTTCTATGTAAAATTAGTGAAACAGTTGTGCTAAGTGATCAGCTATTAAATCCATAGACATAATAGTAAAAGTGTTATTGTATATGCTCATTAAAATATGAGGTCAAATTCAATTTCTTCCATGTGTCATTCAGGAAGTCTGATTGAACTGCTGTGTGCATACTTTGACCTGTGAAAGTTATATTTTAACCTTAAGAATAGTTCCCTTATATATAGCCAAAAGCCAAGGCAGTAACAGTTGGAAAGCAAGCTTCACCGTCTGCTGAGATGTCTACCAGGTGGATTTCAGTTCTGCTGCTGCTGCTACAGCTCAGTTGCCACTTCAGCGCCGTGGGATGTGGAAAGGTGTTGGTGTGGCCGATGGATTTCAGTCACTGGATCAATATGAAGCTCATCCTGGATGAACTGGTGCAGAGGGGACATGAGGTGACTGTTCTCAAATCTTCAGTTTCTGTTCTGCTTGATCACAGTGAATCTTCAGCTATTGAGTATGAGACTTTTCCTGCATCCATACCCAAAGATGTGTATGAGAAGACTTTCTCGAATGATATAATGAAACATGTTTATGAATTACATAAATATTCATTTTGGAATTTTTTTTCAAAACTTCAACAAATGCAATATGAAGTTTCTGATTTTTTTCAAATTATGTGTAGGGATGCAGTTTTAAATAAAAAACTTGTGACAAAGCTGAAAGAATCGAGGTTTGATGTTATTTTTGCAGATGCCCTGTGTCCCTGTGGTGAGCTGCTGGCTGAGCTACTTAAAGTCCCCTTTCTGTACACACACCGACTCTTTCTAGGCTACAAGTATGAAAAGTACAGCGGAGGACTTTTGTTTCCCCCTTCCTATGTGCCTACCACCATGTCGGAATTAACTGATAAAATGACATTCATGGAGAGAGTAAAAAATATGCTATATGTGCTTTATTTTGACTTTTGGCTTCAAATTTATAATGAGAAGAAATGGGATCAATTTTACAGTGAAGTGCTGGGTAAGTATTGCTTTTATTGGATACTGCCAAATCCTGACTATTTCGTGCATTTTGATTGGGACTTAGTATGATATCATAATATAGAGATGTGAACTCTTTGTTTCTCTGGGTTTTTTTTGAATATATTTTATTTTGTTTAAAAAGCAGTTTTATAGTGAGACAAAAAAAAAAGAAAACTTCATCCAGTGTGGTTCAGACCCCAATGGCCAAGCCCCATACTGAGTCAGTCTGAAACTAGGAGCCATGAGCTCTTGATCCAAATCTCTCACATTGGTGAATTTGCCCAAGACTTGGACAACCTCTGTTGCTTTTCTAGGCCAGAAGGAGGGAGTTCAATGGAAGTGGAACATACAGAACATGAACAGGCACCTAAATGGGATGGTAGTGATTGAAGCTGGAGGATTAGCCTGTTGTGCTACCATGCTAGCCCCAGAAACTTGTCTTCTAAAAATTTAGTGAGATGATAACCATGTAAGACAAGCCAAACTCAGAATGCTGCAGAAAAACTGAGATTATTGATCAGTTAGTACCTGATTGCCTTTACAGAAAGTCTTCCGAGAAGTCATAAACACAACAGCAAAGAAATAAGGACTTATCTAAGCAATAATGCATCCACTTTTCTATATCTCTTATTTTATCTTGGAGAGAAAGAGAGAGAAAGATAGAAAGGGAGAGAGACAGAGAGAGAGACCAAGTGCCATGATGAATGTAGATAGGTAGTTTGGGAAATATTATGGCTTCTGTTTTTCTTTTTAAATTTATTTTGTCATTATATAAAAATGTGTGTGTGTGTGTGTGTGTGTGTGTGTGTGTGTGTGTGTGTGTGTGTGTGTCTAACAAACTCAAAGTGGTACTGGACAAGTTTCATGCATTTCATAAAGGCTGCTTCAAGGGCTGAAGTAACTATCTAAATAGCACTGAGAAACTTGCTTCCACCTATGTGAATTAGTTTCCTAATTAGAACTTACACTACTTTATTACATTACCATATGAATGTATTCACAGTATTTAAATCTCAAATTAAGACACAGGAAATCAAAAATCTGACCTTGGGTATCATAATGATTTTTTTTTCACTGAGATCATTCAATTAATTTTATTTAATAATGAGAATCTGAAATACTACTCAGCCATTAAGTTGAATGAAAACTTGTCTTTTGCAACAAAATGATGCAATTTGAGACTTTCATGCTTAGTAAAATCATTCAGTTCCAAAAATACCAAACTATTTTTTCTTGAATTGTGATATCTAAAATCAGAGTATGTTATATGGAAAGTAGTTTATGTTATATTTTGTATTAGCAAAATTAAAAATTTGAGATTCATTTACAATTTATAGTCCTCTACAGTTACGAGACAGTGATTCTTTTCTTTCACTTCTTCTTATTTGTTGAATTGTTTATCTACCGATGTTTAACTGAGATTATATCATTTCAAAATTTTTAAAAGAAAACAAGGAAAGAGGAGAGTGACTCTGTCCCTGTGCAGAGTTGAGAGGGAAGGTGGGCAGAACGTATCACTTTACTCCTAAATCTGTATTGCAAAACACATATAATTTCCACCTTTTAAAAATAAAATTAAATTGACTTTAAAATTACAATTTCTTAATATTCCCAAGTAAAGCATTAGTATATAGTTTCTTTAAAAAATGCATTGCCCTTAAGGGAAAACATGTCACAAACTGAGAACAAAATAGATAAATAAATAAATAATCTCAGTCAAAAATTTGGGGAGATATTTAGAGTTATTTAATTTTTAATATAATAAATAATTATGAGACATCTAACATGAAACAAGACAATCAGGTGACTTAGAAGAATTATATTGTACTCTCAAATACTTCCCAATGAATTTGGCTAACCATGATCAAGCTCCTAGCTATTCCAATTAATTAATTTATTCAACAGCAGAATTACAGAAGGAGAAGGAAATAAAGAGGTTTTCCATCCACTGGCTCACTCCCAAAATCGCCCAAAGGGCAAGGGCAAAGGCAGGAACCAGGATGTTCCTCAGGTCATCCACTTGAAAACAGAAGCTCCAGGACTTTGGCCATCCTCTGCTGCTTTTCAAGGCACATCATGTGGGATCTGGATTGGATGTGTAAGAATCAGAACTTGAACCAGTGCTCATATAGCATGCCAATGTTTCTGCTAACAGCTTTAGCCGCTACACCAAGTGCCAGCCCTAGTATCAAGCTGCTAAACAAAAGAGGTGATTAGAACACTTTGGAAAAGATTTTTCCATGGGTATAGAAGGATCAATAAGGTGCAGATTTGATATATGTTCCAATTACTATTAGTATTTTTATTGTGATTTGTTAATTTTTATTTCTTTAAAATTTTAGCTGACATACAGATTTAGACATATTTATGGGATGCCATGAGATATTTCTGCAAATGAACACACTATCTGCTGTCCAAAAAAGGGTGAATATAGTTATTTCACATCTTTAATATTTATGATGAATCCATCAAACCATGTGCATTAATTTTACCTATACACCTGTTAAGTGTAATAAACACACAAACTTCTACACTTGCTCAGCAATAATTCAAGACATAGAAGTCAGCATTTTCTATTCTCCTTTGTTTTTTCCTAGTATCTGGGTTACATCATTATGTTTTCATTTTCTATGAGCTCATATTTATGTATCGCTCTGTGAATGACATACTGTGACACTTGTCTTTTAAGTTTGGTTAATAGTGCTAAATCTAAGAATCTTGAGTACCCCCAGGCTAGTACAATAAAAAAGAATTCACTATTTTCTTTGATAAATAGCACTCCAATCTATGGATATGTTATTCTTTTCTTAGCAATTTTTTGTTGGATAAACTTTTAATCTGTTTGAAGTTCTTGGTTATTCTTAGTGCTGCAATAAAGATGGGAGTGCAGCTATAACATTGACAGATGGTTTTCATTTCCATGGAAAAAATATATAAATACACAAAATATATTCTAGGTACATGAATATCATGTCCATACCCACTATTGGACTTATAGACTAATACACATTTGTCACTTTAGCAAGTGTTAGAGAGAAAATTGTTACCTGTGGAAGTATAGACACTCTTACTCTAAAAACTGTTCATGAAAGTGAATTTACTGAGGTGAATGACAGTTGTAGTGAGTTTTCACAATATTCCTCTTGCATACCCACATATGTATATCTACATACATATTAACATACACATATGTGTGCATACTCATCTGACACTGTTATTTTCTTGCTCTCATTAGGAAGACCCACTAAACTAACTGAATTAATGGGGAAAGCTGAAATGTGGCTCATTAGAACCTATTGGGACCTGGAATTTCCTCGCCCACTCTTACCAAGTGTTGATTTTGTTGGAGGGCTCCACTGCAGACCTGCCAAACCCCTGCCTAAGGTAAACCTATTCCAGTTGTGTTTTTGTTCTGTTTACCTTTCAACTGTGGAAAAATGTTTCTGTATTCTTCACTCACACTGAATCTCAGTTTGTGTATTATGGGCAGTGGGACATAGTATCCTAACAACAAACACTCCAGTTTCCTATCCGCATAGCTGTATAATTGCATTTTGTTATCAAGCAGTGAGAATAAACTGGTGGCTTTTGAGCACACAGTCAGTTAAATCTGGGCCTTTACTTGTCAACACAGAAGAAAGCATTAGGCGTTTTATCAAGGAATTTTGATAAATGATTGTGATGCCTCAACTGAAGTGCTAGTGACACTTGTTAAGTGTTACATGAAAGCATGAGCAAGCTGTATCACTGGAATAAGTTATATCAGATGTTTTATGCCTAGAGCAAAAGTACAAGAAGCTTTAGGACATGTTCCCTGAGTAGCATGCATCTCCACAGCACAATTGCCTATGTGGACCAGCACTGAGGGAACCTGCTTGCACAACAAACACCAGGCAGCTATACCAAAAACAAGTGTGTTGCTTCATACATCATCAGGCTGCCATTATTAGAACGGCAAAAATACTATGTTGCCACTTATGATGGTTCACTTCATGAAGGAAAAGAAATGATTAATGATTAAGAAAAATCCAATTAATGTAACCCTCTACTTGAAAGATTTTCCCTTCTGTGTTAAAAGAAATTGACAGTGTCAGCAAGGCAGGAAAAGGGCTTTTTTTGGTGGAGGAAGAAAAGAACGAACACAGTTGAACTGTAGTGTTAGCAGCTGTTGCTGTCATTAAAATTGCAGACAGGATAAAGCAAACCGCTTCCATAAATATGAAGCTGGTTTAATTTATTTGAAAATATTATGTGTTGAGCAAATTACTTCCTTCATACAAACTATAATTTTACTTCTATGTATTTTTAAAAAGCAACTTATTTTATAAGATACAACAAGTGTCTGAAAAATGATTTGTTTTATATTATAATTAGGAGTAACTATGTTGAGTTGATCATGACATTTTGCATACATCTGTCAAAACTAAACTGGCACAATCTAGACCTAAACACCTTTCATGTATGATTTAAAATAGCATTCTTGCATATGTGTATACATTACTTATCAACAGAAAAAAATGCATGTTGGGGGATCAGTGCTGCAGGGTAGTGAATAAGGTCAATCCCACTCTGTCTCCCTCTATCTGAATAACTATGTCATTTAGATGAAACATAAGAGCCATCACATGCCAGTGGCCCTCTTGGGCCAGGTTCCTGGGACATTTTCTCTCAAAGACTTAATTTCTTCTGATATGTAGACATTCTTTTCTCGGTTATCCAATCAAAGAACAGCTTTGCTAGTTTAGAATACTGTTGCATTAATACAATAAGAATGCACCACTCAGGATATCTTCTTACCGTCAATCTGTTCTCAGATGGCTCCTCTTTCTTCCCTATGTGATATGTGAATCCCCAAGGCTACCTTCAGCGATAAGCCTGCTATGTCAGTGCGGTCCTAATTCCCCTTGAACCTCGATGTTCCCTCTTATTAACTGTCTTTTCAGAACCACATAGAGCATGTCTTTCCCTCTTTCTAATTTCTGTATTCTGAGCTGAGTTCAGTTTGTCTCACTCCATGCAAGATCCTAAGCGGCTCCATGGTGGGAGCAGCCCCCATTTGACTGGCTGCCCATGGGCTGCAGGTTCAGCCCCATGCTTATGGCAGTCTGGTGATGCAGGCTTCTGGTTGTTCTGGGGGATGGCTCTGGCAAGACCATGAGTAGACTGGGACTTTGATCAAGGCTAGAAAACAAGTCTAGGAATTTCCCCACAGACATTTTCCCTTGGATTGGTCAGGGAAGGGAGTAAGGACACGTGTGGGAGGGAAGATGACTAAGGTAATAGGTAGCAGGCAAGAAATGAATCTGAAGGACTCCCATATCGACAATGCCACTGTACTTACAAGGATAGTGAGGTGGCTGAGACCAAGCATTTTGGAGGATTGAAGCTGCAGGACTTCACTGGATCAGACAGATCTGCCAGCCCATGTGGGTGATCTCAGCTAGGCTATGGAAAGCTAGTGCAATGGAACTGCCTGGCTGGCAAGATCCAGGTACCCACCAGTGAGAGTCATACCAGTGCATGAATAATGTTAGGCTGGGTCATGACGCTAAGCAACACGCAACGGAACCATATCAGGGGGAAGATTCTGGGACATATGTGGGCTCAACCTTGTTGGACTGCCATAACAGCTGATTTGTTCAAGAGTTGGGGGTAGTGATAGGCTGAACTAGGTATGACCATGGAGCTTTCTAATACTCATGGGTGCTGGGGATGGGAATATACTTGGTGGATCCATGCTGCAGCACTCACAAAAATAGGCTGTAGGGAGGCTGGGCTATAGCATCCACCAGCTCATATAAAGGCCACGACAGAGGAAGCAAACTATGCCAGGAAAGGGCCTAGTACCCACAGGCATGTGTCGGGCAGTGACTCTGGTGGGGAAAACTTGGGAAACTCCCCTGGTGGGCCATAGCTTTAGCTGGTGACCATGTGATTTGGTTTTGAGTATTGGTCTGGCCAGGCTAGGTAACTCCACTCATTGCCAAGTGTGTGAGTTGGTTCTGGGCAGAGAGGCAGACTAGGCAAGGCCAGACCATCCTCAACTCTCTGGCATGTGCTGAAGCCATGCTGGAGTGTGGGTCATACCAGGCTAGGCTATCACACCTACCTGTTTCCATGAGCCAAGAACGGAAGATTCTGGGCAGGGCAAGGCAATAGTGAGAGTTGCTACTAAAGGTGGATTTGAAAGGCTCTGCTGCTGGGCTATTCTTCTACTGATGAGCATGAGTACTACAAATAGAGTCAGACCAGACCAGACAGTGCTGTAACATCTGTTGGCCTGCATGTGTGCTGGCTTAAGGAGAGAGCCAGATGGGCCTAACCAGCTGTATCCACTCCACTGGGGCAGGCATGAGCCAGAGTAAATGCAGCCTGGAGGGGCATGGCTATATCATCAGCTGACAAGTGTTGGGCCTCGGGGTATGTCTTGTCAAACAAGACTGCAGAATCCCCTGGAGAGTGCAAGATCTGGGGCTGGGAATGGGCACAGTAGGGAAATGATGGGGTCCTCTGTGATGGGCTGCAACTCCCACTGGTGAGCAAGAGAATCAGAGCTGGGGGTGGGCCTAGCCAGACAGTTGTTGGCAACCACTAGCATTTAAGCAGGCTGGATAGTGGGGTCAGTTGGATTTAGTTTGGCTTCAATCCCCATTGATGTATACAAGAACTGACTAGGACACAGGGCAGACTGAGCCATTCTGCTACACAAACTGGCAAGCATAGGAACCAGGACTCGAGTGTGCCTTTTGGGGGCTATTAGGAGTCACAGCAACTAGGCTGCAGTTTTTGTTGGTGAACATGACAGTCGAGCATGTGGTGTGCAGGACTGGCTGTGCCAAAGCACTCATTGGTGTACATAAGAGACAGAGTTGGCCATTGAGTTGATCCAGCAATTGCGAGTAGGGGTGTGTGTGTAGGCTGATGTGGGTGATGGAATGAGCCAGACCCCATACTAAGGTACTGGGGCAGTGGGGAAGATGGGTGTGGCCTCTCTGCTAATTCCTCCTCCCCAACTTCCCCCAGATACAGGAGGAACTGGAGGAAGGTTTGGAAATAATGGTCTCACCCACACACCCATTCTCATTGATCCTCCCCTCCATGGTCAAATACACAAACATAATCAATTAAAAAAATGAAATTAAAAAATCCCATCACAATACTTTGAAAACTTACTATATCGCCCAGATACCCTGAGTCAAGTGGACTTATGATCTTTACACAGTGTCAAGATTCAGCTTGTCTTTTCTAAGAAATCTGCCTAGGGCAGTGTCGTGCAGAGTGTTCCTCACATCTTCCTGCAGTAATCTCATAGTGTCAAGGCATTGGTCTAGATTCCTGATTCATTTAAGCTTATGTTTGTAAAAGATGAATGACCGTGATTTGGCTCTTAAATTTGTAGGTATAGAAGCTGTTAGACTGCAGGCATGGACCAATAGCTGCTTGTAGACAGGGTATTTACTCACTGTCTCTCTCAGTCTTTCTAGGTGTGAGGATTGTTCTCTGACTCATGGGCAATGGAATTTCCTTTTAACTGTCTCTTTGTGAGGCTCATTGAGAACTTATTTCTCCCATGGTGGCATCTCAGCCCAGCATTCACTTTAGGAAATCTTGCTGAGAATCTCTTCTGCAAATGAAATAGTTGCTTCTGCTTCTGATTTTAATACAGATAATCTGGATCATGTGTATTCCTTTGGAGAGCAGTTGACTCCCACATACTGACTATAATGAGACCTGCTTTATTCCAGCACCACCCCTCCTTCCGCACTGCATCTCCTCATTCTTTGTTTTGCCATCCGTGCACTTTTCCCTGTGTCTTCCTTCAACTCCCAGCCTGCTCCCTAAATATGTCCACCTTGAAACATTTATGCCTTTCCCCTTCAGCTACTCAGCTTGTGACATTTGCTTAATCATTTACAACTGCCATAGTCAGGGACTTTGAAGAGACCCGTATTCCACAGGAGCAAATATTCAATATTGAAAAGGAAAAAATATAAGTAAAATGGACAATATTTTATCAATTCAAATGCTCATCAGAAGCATTTAGAGACTGCAGGACATGTATTTCCTTAGCCTGAAATACAGTCCACAGCTTCCAGAGAATAACTCCTCAATATGAGGGCAAAAGAGTTGTTGAAACAATCTTAAACATGCAAAGCTGGATCAAACACAAAGTCACACAAAATGTGATAACATGCATAGATAAATTTTCCTAGCAATACAACAGTGAAACTGGACCCAGGGCAGTAGCTGAGTGGCTGAAGTCGTCGCCTTGCAAGGACTAGGATCCCATATGGACACAGGTTCTAACTCTCGCTTCCCATTCAGCTTTCTGCTCGTGGCTTGGAAAAGCATTCCAGGATGGCCCAATGCCTTGGGACCCTACACTTGCGTCGGTGACCTGAAAGAAGCTCCTGGCCCCTGGCTTCAGATTGGCAAACCTCCAGCCATGTGGTCACTTGGGGAGTGAATCATTGGGTGGAAGATCTTCCTCTCTGTCACTCCTCCTCTCTGTGTATCTGACTTTCCAATAAAAATAACATAAATCTTAAAAACAAACAATGATCCAATTACAGCACTTTGTGCTCAGAATCTAGTCATATGATCAATTATTAATATACATTCTCAAAAGGAGGCTGTTTGTGGAACAATGTTCTTTCTACGTTTTGCTTGTTGAACACTATGTGTGGTGCACTATTTACATTAATCTAGAAAGAAACATTTCATGACACAGGAAACTATGCTGGGGTTCATCTGAAAATAAGATACAAAACTGTATACCTTTGTATAAATTGAAAGCAAGCAGATGTTTGCATTTTTTAAAAGAAGGAATGCTGCATGAACTTATCTGATTTGTTAAATCACTGGTAATTACTCCAGGGATATTGTCTCTCAAGCAATATTCATTTAATCATTATTGTCTTATTGCTCTATGTGTGTTTTTAAAAGGTAAGAATTATTAGGGGCTATTATTTGTCGCTAAACTTTCCTTAGCTCTCTAATACTGTCCCTTAAATGTGTTCCGATATCCTAAAATATGGTCCTAATCATTGTCATTCCTCGATATGATTTTAAAAATTTGCTCAAATTAACCTCAATATAAAATACTCCTGTCTGAAATTGATGTGCTTTCTTTGTGATCTCTGTTCTGTCGAGAGAGAGAGAGAGAGAGAAAAAGAGAGAGAAGCACAAAGGTCAGTGCAGTGCAAGGGAAAGGCCCCATGAGTGGAACAATAAAGTATGCACTTTTATCCATTAGGTTGCTAGCTTATACAGTTATTCTGTACTTGCTCTTCAAATCACAAAGGAAGATCAGGATTACAGATTTCATACCACAACACACAATGGTAATGAAAGATGTCTGTCACTCTCCATCACTTAGGAGGTGTAATCTAGAGAGATGGAGACAGTGAATGAATTTGCAAAAGCTATCTGAGTAGACTTGTTAAATCTTCAAAGAAAACAGAAAATCTATTGAAAGAACCTCAAAAAATGAGATATGGTTCTTGATCTTAATATAAGAAAAGGTATATCTTACAATAGTTATCATTTTGCCTCTCAAATTTTTACATAAACTTTATGACAGAGATAAATATCCTTTAATAAAATGATTGTAAGAGTTTTATATGCATACAATATGTTTTGGATATTTTTAGGTAGGATGTTAAAATTTTTATTGTTTCTCATAATGATTAGAATGGGTTTCCTTCCTTTAATTTGTAAGAATGTATTTGAACCGCGAAATTATAGAGAGAAGTGCAGACACAGAGATAACCTTCCATCTGCTGACTTCCTCCCGAAGTAGCTGCAGTGGTCAGAGCTGGGTTAATTCATTCCAGGATTAAGGAACTTCTCCCAGGTCTCCCACATGATTGCAGGGATGCAAACACTAGGGCTGTCCTCTGCTGCTTTCTCAGGCACATGGGCAGGGAGCTGGACTGGAAGAGGGGCAGACAGGAATGGAACCAGTGCCCATGTGGGAATGGACACCATCACCAACAGCATAGGCCATGACAGTGCTTCTTTTATTCATTTTCACTGTACCTGTTTCACTGTATTTATTTTGTAGTGGAACAAATACTTTCTTTACAGGAGTTGGAAGACTTTGTTCAGAGCTCTGAAAAGGAGGGAGTTGTGTTGTTTTCTCTGGGCTCAATGATCAGTAACCTGACAGAAGAGAGGGCCAATGTGATCGCATCAGCGCTTGCCCAGCTTCCACAAAAGGTCAGAAAGAATGTTTTACTTTGTTACTGTAAACACCTAAAATCTGTATAGGGTTTGGTTTATTGCCCTTGTTTTGTGCTGTATTTTGTAATTTACTTGCAAAATTCTTTTTAAAAGGAAAATAATGATTAAGAGCACAGATATTAGAGCTGATTACATCAAAAGCATTGGTAGCTGACATTTTGCCGGCAAGATTTAAATTTGATAGGTGCAATATTAGTGAAATCACAATGGTCTAGCAGGTTAACCTAATTAGCAAATTCTCCTTTTCTATTTCATTTCTTCTATCCAGGATTGCTGAGAGCAATATGCACAGAACACATATATTCACAATGAGTAACTGCACTAGTGCAGTAAGTATGAGCAAATGTTGAATGAAAAAAGACAGAAGTGCATTACATAATGTAGTCTTCACATAGAAACCGAAGCATTTTAGTAGCCCTATATTCTGTGGGATGCAGATTCATTGTGATCTTCACAATGACAGTCAGGAAAAGGTGGGCAGGTCTAATCAAGCTTGAGCCAAAAGGCCCTGTGCCCAACCAACTTGACAGAATACGAAACGGTAGGCCTTTATCAGTGCATGTGGCTCTGCCAATATCTAAATGAGGAACATGCAAATGAAAGAAACAGGATCTAATCTTTAAGATAAATAGTCTGCACAGCAAAACTCCCGTGTCATGAAGGTTCACACTCTTAGAAAATAACTACTGAAACAACCAAGAATTCAATATTATCACAAAGATACCAGGCTGATATTGAAACTTTAGTATGAGGGCTAGAACAAAGCATACATTTATTAAAGAAAACGGATGTGTGGGTCATCAGGAATTTGCTATGCAATATACACAAAAATTTACATAGCTGTCAACTTCTTAAAAACCCAAGTTGACCACTGACTCACTAGTCTGACACATCAAAACTTTATTCCTCACCAATCTAAATGTAAATATAAGCACAGAATTAAAGCATATTCTATTTAATGTTTCATACTTTCCATTACTTAACCATCTTTTTTTGTCATTTCCTAACTTTGTCCTGTGATAAACCCTTAACCATGTAAACCGTTACTCTCTTCAGGACTCTAACTTGTTGTAAGATGGACTATGATTCAGGTAACACATTGCCTTTTCTTGAACAGGTTCTGTGGAGATACAATGGCAAGAAACCGGGTACCTTAGGACCCAACACTCAGCTCCTTCCTTGGATTCCTCAGAATGACCTTCTCGGTAAGCCTGTGGAGATGAAAGTCTAAGACAAGATAAATAATCATAAAAAGTACTTCAGAGTGAGTGTTTGATGCAGCAGTTTGAGAAGCCTTCATCTGATAACAGAGTACCTGGGTTTGAGTCCCAGCTTGCTCTGGATTACAGCTTCCTGCTAAATGCATATTCAAGGAGGCACTGAGTCCTAAGGTTCAAGTTGTTGAGAACCTGCCATCTTTGTTGGAGATCCAAATAGAACTCATGATTCCTGAGTTGGCTTGCCCTAAAGGAAGTATTGCAGGGATTGAGGTAGTGAACTAACAGGTGGGCAATTTCACTGTGTCTTAGATCACTCTGTCTCCCTACCATTCATATTATTAAACAAAATTTTAAGAAATACCTTAAGTTCTTCAATTTATTTTAGTTTCATTTTGGATCATGGGGGTAAAATAAGGTAAAAACAGATCATTGAAATTTTCTTAGATATAATGGCCTTTTTATTTACAATCAAAGTATGCATTTTAGTATAATTACCTCTAAGCATTTGTCAATATCTTCCTGTTTATGTCCCATTTCTGCAATTGTCCCTATTCTTTTCCCACACAGGAGTCTACAACTGATAGCCTTTACCTTGAAATGTTAGTGTGTTTCATAAAATGCAGTCTCTCCTTCCTTGAACGGCAGCACCGTGGCACCCTCAGCGTGTACATGCCACATGTGTGATCTTGCAACCTCATCTTTTCAATAAAAGTGTCTTCTGTTTTCTGTAAAGATTTTTTGTTATGTGTGGTCCACTTTATCCCACTTGCTCACCCTGTATTCTTTAATCACATCTCAAGTCACACACCATTTCTTTAGGTGGTTTCATTTACCTCTCAAATGCACTGAGGTCACTGCCTCTGACTTCAATGCCCTTGGATGCCCAGAGCAAATCTTTTCCAGAAACTTCTATCTTTCACTGAAATTTGATTAATTGCAGGTCACCCGAAAACCAGAGCTTTCATCACTCATGGTGGAACCAACGGCATCTATGAGGCGATTCACCATGGTGTGCCCTTGGTGGGCATTCCTTTGTTTGGGGATCAGTTTGATAACATCGCTCAGATGAAGGCCAAGGGAGCTGCTGTTAAAGTCAACCTAATCACAATGTCAAGTGCAGATTTGCTCAGTGCAGTGAAGATAGTCATTAATGATCCTTCGTGAGTATAACACTTTTAAATTTGGTAGCATTTATAAAGATGAATTCTCATTATTCAGTGTGTATATCATTTCTTTTTCATTTGATATTCACAAAATAAAATGATACAGCTATTGTATCATAAAATGTACTTTTCAACAAGTTGTTTGAAAGCTGCAAATCAATATCTTCAACGTACGGCTTGATTAGTAAGTATTTGAATGATGTTGTATGCAAATATTCAAAAGTATGTAACTCGAAGCCCACAGATTTGAACCCAGCACAGTAGCCTAGTTGCTATGTCTTTGCCTTGCATGTGCCAGAACTGAATACAGGCTTTGGTGAGTTTCACAGATGCTCTTCTTCCCATGTAGTTACCTGCTTATGACCTAGGAAAGCAGTAGAGGACAACCCAAAGCCTTGCAACCCTGCCTCTGCATGGGAGACCTGTAAGAAACCCTGGCTCCTGTCTACGAATTGGCTGGCTCTGGTCGTTGCAGTCACTTGGGGAGTGAGCTAGAGGATGAAAGGTTTTTCTCTCTGCCTCTCCTTCTCCCTGTAAATCTGTCTTTCCAATAAATAAATATAAAAAAAATTAAAGAGAACACAGTTTTAGACAGAATGATATTTTCAGAAGGAAAGAATGACATTGAAAAAATATGATAGAACATTTACATTCAACATATAAACTTCCTAGAACTGTACATATTAGCTCAATAATTGATTTTGCTTTCTAATTATTTTTAAAGTAGAATATATTTGCATACAGTTGTAATTAAAGTGTGAACAAGTGATTTAAATATACTTTTATGATTAACAAATCTTATCCAAATACAATGTTCATGATTTTTTTCACCAGAGCAAAAAGATATGACATGCCCTATAAATGTCTATTGTTTTAACCCTAAACCCTGTGCAGACATATTTTACTTTAGATGTTTCAACACAAGCTGTCTGGAGATTGCTTTCAATGCCATCCTAAAATATTCAGTCTTTTGCTTCTAGTGTCTTTTGCTAGAAAAGTCTCACTAATGTATCTCAGTTTCATCCAGGTTGGTGAATCTGTGTTTGATCTATATAATATTATCATTTCAATGTTCATTTTCTCATTTATTTAATGACACAGTTTAAACCTGGTAATCAGAAAAAAAGTCCTGCAAAAATTTATTAAATCATCTGATAAATTACATTTCAGGGCCTGGTGCAGTAGCCTAGTGGGTCAAGTCCTTGACCTGCACCTGCCAGGATCACATATGAACAATGATTTGTGTCCTGGCAGCCCTGCTTCCCATAAAGCTTCCTACTTAGACCCTGGGAAGGCAGTTGAACACACGCAAAACCTTCAGACCCTGCACTCACCAGGAAGACCAGGAAGAGCTCTGGGCTCCTAGTTTTGGATCAGCACGGTTCCAGCCGTTGGTGCTGCTTTGGGAGTGAATCATCAGACGGAAGATCTTCCTCTCTTTCTCTCCTCCTCTCTGTATTAAAAAAAATACACTTTTTCTTCATTTATATGTACACTACTTATTTTAAGCCAATATCATATTCTGAACTAGATTAACTTCCTTGCAGTGTTAACATCATCATGTTTCCCCTTTAGATATAAAGAAAATGCTATGAGATTATCTAGAATTCACCACGATCAGCCCATGAAGCCCCTGGACCGAGCTGTCTTCTGGATCGAGCATGTCATGCGCCACAAAGGAGCCAAACACCTTCGGGTTGCAGCCCACGACCTCACCTGGTACCAGTACCGCTCTCTGGATGTGATTGCGTTCCTGCTGGCCTGTGTGGCCACTGCTGCACTCATCATCATAAAATGTTGTCTCTTTTGTTACTGGATGCTTGTTAAAACTGTTAAGAGCAAAAGAGAGTAGTTCAAGTATGCTAACTTGAAGGAGCATCACCTGATAGATGAGCTGTCCCAAGCTTAATTCAGCAAGCTGAGGCTATAACATAGGTCAGTTTGGTTGCCAGAAGGCCTCAAGCGTGGCAGTAGGAAAACCAAAGACTAAGACTCACTTATCTAGCAGTGATGGTTGTGACACCTTTGATGTAACCTGCAAGTAAAGAAAAGACCTCAATAACTTCATAGAGATGAATTGGACTCAGTCTAATAAAACCGTTGGCTGTTAGTGGTGCTCTCCTATTTCCCTGGTGAGTGCCCCAGGCCCCCTGGTCCATGGAATCCTGTCTTAAATGTTGTGTGATCTCTAATTCTTTCCTCCATAATTTTAAATCATGTATGCCTAAGTCTTTCAGATGTGACCTTTCACCCTTGTTTCTGGCATTCATGTAAAACATCTTGTTTCAGGATGTTTGCGTACTGGTGCATAAGTATATGTTATTCTTCCATTTTCAATTTTCCAATGGAAAGTTTTAGCTAATGCATTGATTTCCACACTGACACGTTCATCATATAAAAGCACGGTGTTAAATTTAATGTATTTGTAAATTCATAAATTTATTTTTCTGTTTGATAATCAGGTATATTTTCTTGTTTTCTCTTCAGACACTAACATTGGCAATAAAGGTTTACAATCACACATAAAATAGTATGTTTTCGGGCCCGGCCCGGTGGCACAGTTGTTCTGGTCCTCGCCTTGCCTGCCCAGGATCCCATATGGGCACCTTTTTCTATCCCGGCGGCCCTGTACCCTTCCAGCTCCCCGCCTGTGGCCTGGGAAAGCGGTCAAGGATGGCCCAAGGCTTTGGGACCCTGCACTAGCGCGGGAGACCCAGAGACAGAAGATATTTCTCTCTGTCTCTCCTCTCTGTATATCTGCCTTTCCAATAAAAAAATATATATATAAAAATAATTTAAAAAATAGTATGTTTTAAATCTTTTTACCACGGGGGCCTGGCACAATGGCTCAGTCGCTAAATCCTCGCCTTGCACAAGCCACGATCCCATGTGGGTGCCTGTTTGTGTCCCTGTTGCTGCACATCCCAATCCAGTTCATGCTTGTGGCCTGGGAAAGCAGTAAATGTGGAGCGTGGGGAGCAGCACAGAGCCTTGGGACCCTGCATCAGCATGGAAAACCCAGAGGAAACTGCTGGCTTTTGGCTTTGAATAAGCTCAACTCTGGCTGTTGGGGCCACTTCGGCAGTGAATCAGTGGACTGAAGAACTTTTTTTTTTCTGTGTTTGTCTCTGTAAATCTATCATTCCAATAAATATAAATAAAGCTTTAAGATAAATAAATAAATATTCTCACTACAAAGAAATGATAATTGCAGGAGGTGAAGGATATGATAACCATACATATTTGATAAATATGCAAGAATCCCATGTATATAAATAGCACATCTTACACTATATAAACAATTATAATCTAACAGTAAAATATTTAACGTGAGAAGAGTAAAAATTATATTTCAGATTTTGAACTTCATATTAAGAATATCCACATCCAGCTGATCAAATAATAAGAACAATTTAATAAAAAATAACCAGTCTTAACAGACATTAAAATGCATGATTGTCCACTAAGCATATGAATACATGCTCAACATAAGTTTCTCAATAGTATTAGAGCAAATCAAGTCAAAATCACAATGGTGAGCACAATTACTAGCGTAGTTGAAATAAAAAGGCAAAAAAAAATAGTAAAAATAGGAAGAAATTATTTATTAAATACATTATAAAAATGAAAAAATGGTGAATTCACTAGGGAAATATCATTCTAAAAATATTAAACATAGATTTGTCCCATGCTTAAGCAAATCTTCTTACAAACTCAATGATTTTATATTGTGGCCAGCTAGAATTAAAAGAGAAAGATTAATCTCATTTTCTTTAAAAATCTGGGTCAAAAGGAGGCCATATTTTGAAAACCTATGGTGGTAGAGAACTGTGTGATTGTGAGTCAGTTTTCTGACTAAACAGGAATTGAGAAATGGTGATGAAAAATTATTTCCATATTTGGCATCCCCATTAGATAATTCTGACCATGTAGAAAATTGCTAATGGTGCTAAATCCCTAAGAGCTTTTTTCTGCCTGTATCCCCACTTTTCCTCCATGTTCTGCTCTGGCAGCATTAGCGATTTAATGTTTGCCTCACCAACGCTTCTGCCCGTCCCTAGGAGAGAAGAAAATAACCCAGACTGCTGCTCCTGGAGGGTTTGCACACTCAGGGCTACTGCATCGAGAAGCAAGATACACCCAGTGGCCCTTTACCTTCCTTTATTCCTTTGTGTGTGACACTACAGTGACCTCATGCTTCCAGGGTACTCCCCTTCTGGACATGGGTGTACCTCCTGGTGTCAAAGACTTCCCATGTGCCTGCTGCTCTCATCCCCAGGTGGGTAGGATACTCCTCCTCAGGGGCACCTGGAGGCTCCCTGCGGATTCTGGAATTGGGCTGCTGGACTCCTGACTCCCTGCTTTCCTAACTGTGGTCAGGCTCTGGAGAGAAGGGAAAGTGCACATATTGCAGCCACTCCCTTTGCACTCTGTCACTCAGCAAGTGCTCTTGTCAATTATTATCTTTTTTTTTTCTTTCCTGGATATTCAGATGAAATGCCAAGTTTGTATCACCCTCCCCTTGTGGGGATTGTCAGCTCTAGAACTGGGTTCCCGGAGAGGTCACGGGCTTCCATCACCTACTGCAGGATTTATCAGTGGGGGAAGTTTTTAATTTTTTAAGTAGCCCCTAAATCTGTAAATAAAATATAATTTAATATTAAATATGCTGTATTGTAAAACTTTACAAAAAGGACTTGATGAACTTATATTTGTTGCTCATGTTTGTGTATGCCCTGGATTGTTCTAAGAAAATTGGTTCTTCCTGAGCAACTCATTCATTTAGAGCTAAAAATATCTTATCACATAAAAGGGACCACACCCTTCAGAGTTGAGTGCAAAGTTGTCTCAGGGCAGGTGCTGTGTCAACAAGTTAAGTTTCCTCATATGATATGGGTATCCCATCGTGTACCCACTTTAGTCTGGGGAGCTCCACCAGATCCACCTCCCCGCTTCTAACCTTGGAAAGCAGTGGAGGAAGGCACAAGTCCTTGGAC